GAATGTAACCAAATTGAAAACAGAACAGAGCATCACTTTGAATGCACTCCCACGAGGAAGGCTAACAGCGGGGGCTGAGGGGAAGTGGAGGTCCGGGTCCATTCCATCCATTACCCGACTTGGTCAGAAGCGTCCGACAGGCAAACGCTAATTGAGGCTGCACTTTAAACCGCTTTCGATCTCAAACATTCTGGCTTGATCAGCCACAAAGAAAGGGAATTGTAATTGTACTCACCTAATGAAACATTATTTCTTGTTTTAATTCAGGTGTTGTAAGCTTAGAGCATCCATCAATATATCAAGTATACGCCATGGGCGACCCAAGACCAAGATGTTATTAAAAGTCAGGTGAAAATGAGTATGAAATTAGTTTAAGTTTATTAGGATTTTCACACTACATTACATTAGTTGAACTAATCATTATTTTTATTCCAGTTTAATTTGTAATTGAAATTGGCAACCAAAATAACATTCTTTATGCGTTTTTTTCTTATAACAAAGACAAAAAAAGGAACCGCCTAAAAAGAGACTGATTTTAACTATCTAAACTATCGATTTTCGGCGGTTTGATAAATTTAATTTTCTCTTCTTTATTTCCATTGGACCGAAATACAATTTTTTGGCTGTGAAAATTAATAATCCTAAACTTGACCATTGTTTCCCAGGGTTTTGATAGAAAAATCAAAACATTGTTTGATTTTCTTAGACTTTTGGCAGTGTTGTTTTAAGCACTTTACATTAACACGTTTTTTTATGTAGCGATATGTAATTATAAGTCATTAATTTAAATCGATTGAATAATGCTACTTCTTAAAAATATATACAAAAGCACTTAACTAAGCATCTGACTTGAGAAATAGAATTTTGCGAGGTGTTTTTGGTATATCTGTTGGTGTATATTTTTTTCCCACTTTTTTCCTGTTAACTAAATAATTTCAGCAAGGAATCTTGGCGACTTTCTTCAAGAGAGGACAACGCTTTGACCAGATTTGCAGTTCGCATTCTCAAGAGCCTTGGATTCTTGGTCTAGGAAAGGATTCTCGTGGGTGGAGAGAGGGGCTTCCTGCAAATAGGTGAGCATGCCAGGTGGGTGGTTAAGTGGGTGGTAATATGACTGGGAGGCTGTGGCATCTGGGCCTTGGAAAAGTTGAGGTCGTGTGCATGTGACAAAAGCATCTGCCTTTTGTTTGGCTGGCGCGCCCTTGGCTTTTTCCCCGCCCCTTTTCCGCACACCCCTTTCCGCACGCCCCTCTCCACGAACCACTTTGTGTGTGAGTATGTGTGTGTGTGTGTGTGTGTGTGTGAGCTGAAGCATTCAAATAATTAAACTCATCAAGCCGTCTTCTTCTTGGCCTCCGCTCCGTTTAGTCTAATCTTCTTTGTTTTCTTTTTATTACAGACCGGAGTCCTAGGAGCGCTTTCCTCCCTCCCACACCGCAACCGGAAAATACACACACTCACACACACACACATGGCCATGGAATGAGCACGCATAATCCTTGATCTTTTGTTAGTTGTTTGCTCAACTTCTGGGTTTTGGGTGCTGGGTGCTGGGTTCTGGGCTCGGGGAATCCTCTGTTTGTTCTGAGGACTCCCGACCACCCCAGCCACCCTGCTCCTGCTCTAAATTATTAATTAAAGTATTTAACAAATATGCTAAAGTTTGCCATGGCTCATGAGTCTGTCACCCCTCCCCAACCGTAATCTCTGGACGACACGCCCAGGAGTTCATTCTGCCGAGTTAATAATGTGGCCGGCACACTTTGTGTGTGCGTGCGTGTGTGTGTGTTGACAGTGCATCTTTTTGAAGTCCCGCTGCCGCATCAAAGACGACTCTCAAAATAGTTGACATTTTCCCTTTGTTTTCACATCGCTCGCCTGCGAATTCCTTGCCTTTTAAATGCCAGTACCCCAGTCCGTGCCCATTGCTGTCAAATACCTCCAAACACACACACATACACGCACACATACACACACACATACACACACACCCACACACAGCGACAATTAGAACGAGGTCCTTTGACAAGTGTGGTTGTCTTACTTTTTTGGCCAGCTCCTTTGTAAGCGATGATTCAAAGAAAATATGCCAGTTATTCATTTTACCTCTCTTGATTTATTTCAGTTCACAAAGAAAATGAAAACGAAACACAAATATTTCATATTTGCATTGCAAACTTTGCATATGAGTTGTCATTGCTTGAGTTATTTTTCGTTATATTAAAATGTATAACAAATAGTTGTGAGCAAATGCATTTTTACTACAAAATTCTTTGACTTCGATTTATAAATAAAAACCATTGCAATTAGGAAGGTGAAACAGTTTGCAAAAAGAATATATATTTCTACACTTTAGTTTACTGTTTTAAAGATTTGTTTTACAATATCACATGTAAGAAAGAAAAAAAAGGGGAAATAAAATTTATTTTTCACACTATTGTTAAATTCGGATAACATTGTAAAAGGTTTTTAACTGGAAAGAAATATCAATAGAAAGACAATTTTAGATAACAATATGAAATTTTGTAAAAACACTGTTAGTACAAAAAAAGAGCTTGTCACTTAATAAACATACTTCGTTTTCATCCACCTCAGATTTGTATATTTCTGCCAACTGCCCTCGGTCTTGGTCCACTCCTTTCAGATCTAAAGAAGCCACTTATTGGCTTTCGGGACTTTATTTTCACTTCTGCTGGAACAAATCCTCCGACTACCTTTAAACCCTTGCCAAGCACATTTCCTTAAGCCGATTACCACTTCCTTTAATTCTAGTTCGGAACCTTGGAACATTTGTAACTTCTGAGACGAAAACAAATTAATAAGCTGATGCCTCATTAGAGCAGAAACCTCCGTCGAATATGAGAAAGCACTAGTAATCATAATTATAAGGCCTGCCCAGGTGCATTTATATAAACGAAATACGCGCCTGCAACTGACAGATACATTCCGTTCAGGGCCGTAGATAATTATGCAGTCAGTTTATTCCAACCGAATGGGTGCACTTGACACCCCATATACTCAAAATCTTCCCTTGAGTTACTTTGGACTTGGATTTGGGATAAATTCTAAAGGAATGATTGGAAATGTTCTAGAAAATCAGTTTAAGACTAGTATCCTAATTATAAAACAATCTTGTAGTTGGAGTAGAAATGAATAAGTAAATAAAAATAAATCAGTATATATATCCAGTTTACAACTTTGGAGAACTTTTATTTATATAAGAATTGTTAATAATAATTGAATTTTCAATTAATTTAGCCCGCCTATTATAACTATTTTGAGGAAAGCCAGCTTTGTTATTAAAAAGGAAGTATCTTTCATATATTTTTTTTTAATTTTTTAATACAATTAAAGATTAAAAAATATTATTACTTACTTATTTATCTATTCACTTATGGGTCTTGATTGGTTAAAAGTGTTATTTATAATATATATTTTGACAAAGTGAAAGAGTTCCCTAGAAGCAGCCGCTAACTTTGAGTATTAGGTATCAGGAAAGTCGTCCCTTCTGACACTGGCTACCGTATTTGTTTTGGCATATTAACATTCCGGATCGAAACTGCTGTGGGACTCTGACTTTTGGCACTTCTTTGACGCCGGCTCCCTGCTTTTTTCCCCTTTTTTCCCTTTTTCCTCCCCCTTTTCCCCTCTATTTCCTACCCTTTTCCGTCCCTTTTGGCTTTGGCTGGGTGTCAGGTCTAGGCTAGAAAACAGCTCTTGAGGCGGAGGTGCATACTGATGATGCCTAGATGATGACGACGATGATGACGATGACGATGACGGAGGGTGCCTGCGAGTCTGTAATTGAAATGCAGAAATTGGAGAGCAGCCTCGACCCGGCTAAGGTGAGTGCCCCGCCCTCCGCCCTCCGACCACCGCCGCCCCTTTCTGGGGATAAATAATGCAGCAGCCTCGAGGAAAATGGGGTTTTTGGGCGATAGGGTGGGATGGTGGGGTTGTGCAGGAAGTGGATGCTTTCTTCATCTGTCTCGGCCTGAGCCGCTGTTGACACATAGTTTGTAGTTGGTAAACAGGCAACACACAACTGCTCAACGAGCACCTGAAGATGCTTTGTATAAATTTGAATATTTAACTGCAGCTGCAAATGCAGATGCAGATGCACCGGCACCGACTCACCGACTCACCAGCTCACCAGCTCCGCCACTGGCAGTAGCAGTTACAGCCCCCAGAAACCAGACCAGAAGTAGCAACATTTCACTCAAATCTAGTGCAGCTGGCTCTGGCGTCGGGGTCCTGGCCAAATCTTTTGCCAAATGCCGAGCTTCGAACTCATTTGGCATGCATGTGTGTCAACGCTCTGGCCAAGACAGCAGCAACATCAGCAGCAGCAACAGCAACAGCAACAGCAACAGCACGGCAGCAACACCAACTAAGATGATTATTATGTATGCATTTCGGGGGCTTAACTTTCTTGGGTGACAAAGACTCGACTCTCAGGCACCCACTGCTGCCTTGATCACGTTTCCAGGGTACGTCAAAAAAGTCAAAATTGGACAAAAAAATTTCATTAACTTTTTCGAAAAACATAATTTTTTTATGACATTCCATCTTTTGACCATTACTTTTCAGCGTTTTAATGGAAAAACTGATTTTTTAGGTGTTTTTATTTTGTGTTTTTAAAAACTTGTTAAAAAACAAAAGCCCAAAAAAGTCCTTTTGTTGTAACTTAGGCAAAATTAGACGTATAGCCATTAGAATGGCTGTTTTGTACAGCTGGCGACCAATACTATCCTTCTACAGTCGGTTTAGGAAAATTAATTTTGTCTCTTATTATGAAAAGGGAGTACATCATGACGAGTTCATTGATGTATGATATTCCAACCTTAGATGATTTATAATAATTAATTTTTCAATTCCAATTATCGATGGCCGTCTATAGAATAAAGTGCTGGTACTTAAGGATTCAGTACTTAACATCTGGAAGACCCACCAATTGCTGAAAACGAATCAATAAAAACACAGGGGTATTGCTTCACATTTAGTTTTCATATTCATTTATTTATTTTTAATTAATTCATTAGTTTTTATTTATTCTTAGACCCTTGATATCCTCAGAAGTTGTGTTGTGTGTGGTTTTCTTTTTTGTTTTGGTTTATTTTTATCGCTTGTCGCATTGTTTTTGTTTTGTTTTTTCCATTTATATATATATATATATATATTTTCATATATAATATAGTTCAACTTAATACGCTTAAAATATTCTGGTTTCGCGTTGAAATCATTACATATATGGTATATCATTATCATTATTGCAATAATTATCGTAATTATTTTTATTTTATGTCATTTTATTTTACTGTTCTGCTGTGGTAATATAATGCCATATATAATTGTTCATTTACCGATAGATATATGCATATGCCTAGGGGGATCTAGGTGATGAATGGGGGGTTATCGTTTATCGTTTGCATTGCCAATTGCGGGGTGGGGGGGTTTGTGAAGGGGATTTTCCGATTTTCCGCCCCCTCCCCGCCGGCCCTTGAATTCTCCACTAAGCTTACACAGACAAAAAAAAGTTGGGGTGTTTTATGTTCGACTTTAGTTTAGTTAAATTTGCCCTACAATATTCCTTAGGTTTTCTTGGTTTGCCTCGGTTTATTTACTATTTGTGAATTACATAGTTCGATATACTACAGATTCCTCTTCTCTGCTATTTTGTCTAATAAATATAATTTGTTCTCCTTTGCGTTTTATTTGTTTATAATAAGTATTTCAACTTTTCTTGTTGCGTCGCTGCCTTTTGGTTGGTTTGTTTATATTATTTTGTTTATTTGTTTATTATATCTCATAAATTCTTGTTGTTGCTAAATTTTGTTGTTTGCTTTGCTGTTGTCGAGTGCATCTGTATATGTATCTGAATTTCTGTGGCTGTGGGTGTGTGTGGGTGTGTGTGGGTGTGTATCTGTAAATGTATCTGTATTTGTGTGAGTGTTCTGTTCTAGTTGTTGTTTAGCTTGTTTATTTTGTTTGTGGTGTGCAAAACGTTTAAATGTTAATTTATCTCAATTGTTTCCCTGTTTCTTTATTTGCTAAGTATTTCTTCTTCTGCGCTCTCCTCATTTTTGCCCTTCGACTTTAGCATTAGTTTTAGGTTTAATTTTAGGTTTAGTTGTAAGTGACTCCATCGGTTTAAGTTGGAGTTCGTGTAGCTCTAACATAAATATCCTAAAATACTTGGTTTTCAGTTATGTACACATAAATATTTGTTGCTGCGTCTGCTGTTCTTGTTTTATTTTACTTTTACTTTATTTTATTTCGGTTTCTTCGTTCTCAAGCCATTTCATAGTTCGCTCTAATTCATAATATTAATTTTAGTGTGCCATTTGTTTATCTTTTTTTTGTTTGCTTTTGAAGCAATTTCATTTCGTGTTTTTTGTTGCTTGTTTTGCTCTTTATGCTTGCCAAATTCTAATAGGTAACTGACTCCTGCTCTTTTTCGAATTGTTTTGGTTTGCCAATCAACGAAACGGAAATGGAAACGAATCGAAAACCAGATGGGAGAAATTCGAGCGGAAAGTACAGTGGTACCCCGCACACGTACATCTAACACATAGACTCCTATACATATTACATATATAATATATATGCCATTTATCCGATAGTTTGTCTTGTTTATTTTACATCTAATTAGGCGCGACAACGATGGAGAAAAAAAAAAGCCAAAAAAATTGCACACACTTTTGTGTGTGGGCCTCTATGTTTTTATTTTGTTTTGTTTTTATAACTAGAGATTACGATGCACGGTGCCATATACGATATAACACTAGTTTACCTTGATTAGCCTTAATATATATACACAGATACTCCGGCAAATATCGTGAGACGAGACTCCGATTTCCTTTTCTTATATTTTGATATAACGCTTTCGCACGCACGCGGACACCCTTTCTCTCTCTTAAGCGGACACCATTGCTCTCTTAAGCGGACACTTGTCCGTATATTCTCTGCCTTGAACGGACCCTCTCTCTTTTCGTTATTCGGACATCCTTCCGGACACTCGATCCCAAAGGGGATCCGTACACTTGTACGGACATTGATCCGGCATTCTCTCTCTTAAGCGGACACTCATACGGACACTCATTCTGCTCTAAGCTGCGTTCTACTTTTCTGGCTCCACCTGCTCCCTTCTAGCCCAACTGATCGATCGTTTTGGCCTCGTTTTGTGGTCTGGGTTTCGAGTTGGTAATTTTTATAAAATTTCGTTTTCTTGCTCGTTCGCAACTAATTCAGCAATCTTTTGTTTTCCTTTTCTACAGGGGTTTTTTTTTTATTAGCAATTCTGCGCTTACGTTCTAGGAGGCAAGGAAACGGAGCAACACACGCGATTATTCAACTATATAGCTACACATACAGTTGTGGCAATAAATTCGATAAGCACCAATTCATGGAAAACAAGGGAAACTCGAGCTGCAAAATGTGGGCGATTCTCAAGCGAAGCAAATTGGGCGGAAATCATCCGTTCAAATTCTACTTTAATTGGCATCTAATATCTTTTTGGATCCCTCTCAATCTCAATCAAATTGGACGGAAAGCTCAACGATCTCGATCAGGGTTCCATGCTGAAATCATATATCTATTTCGTGTTTGTGTTTGTTTTTCGTTTTTTTTTTTTTAATACTGTTTTTAAGCTTTATTTAGTTCGATTCGTTTTATGGTTGTGAATTTATTTGGGCCGCATTGAGCTGAGTTTCGAGAAAAGCAGACTTACAAATAATAACAAAACATTTCACATTTTACATTCCACACAATAATAGCGTTAATATTTATCATTACAATTAGTTCGATTTCTATTTTTTTTTCTCATTTTCTGTTTTCTTTTCTCTTTTTGGATTGTGGATGTGTTGCCCTTGCCTCGGCCATATATGAACAATAATATTGAATAAATTAATTAATTAAGTAGGACAAAACTTAAACTTATCTATCAGGACATTACAGCTATAGGTTTCTCTCTATAAATATGTGTGTGTGTGTGTGTGTTCTATACTTAACGTATATCCATTTATATATTATTTAATAAAAAAAAAAAAAACACCTTGCCTAGCAGCTACATTTTTTTTTGTTTTATCCCTATAATTATGTTGTTCTGTTTTTGTTTTCGAAGCTGACACTGTGCAAAGCAAATGAGAGAAAGCTTTCGCTAAGCAAAAATCTCCCACAACCCCAAAACCCGGTTGCCTAGTGTAGTTTAGTCTGTCGAAGTGTGTGTGTATGTGTGGTTGTATTTTGGTCTGGGCTGTCCCCTGAATTTCCACTTCCGTTTCCGCTTTTCCCAATTTCCACCACCACCGCTCTCGTTTTGTTTTTTTTTTTTTTTTGTATGTACATTGGTTGGCTGGAATTGTTTTTTTTTGGCAAGGGAAGATCTGCGGGATCAGCTCTCGAAGGTCCGTCGGTCAGTCGCCGTTTACTTTGTTCATGTTTAAAACTATGCCAGTCTCAAAAAGCTCGAGTACCACGAAAAAAAGATACACCCCAGCCCCCCAATAATGAATTTCCCATTTCCCATTTCCTTTTCTTTTTTTTGCTCCCCCCTTATTGTGGTGAGTATGCATGTACATATGTCTTGTATGCAGGGTATGACTACTACACTATGCTATTCTTTATATATTTATTTATTTATATTTATATTTATATATTTATATATATCTGTATATCTATAACTGCTTCTATATTCGTGGCTGTATCTGTATCTTTATCTGTAAATGTATCTGTATCTGCGGCTTTGCTGACGTCACACACACACACATATAAACGCACATGCATGCTACATGGGATTATGTGGGCATGTCGCTTGCTTAGTTTTCTTAAATTTCATTACTTTTGCAATTACTTTTCTCTAGTGGCTAACAATAAAAAAAAAATATTTTATGTATATGTATATATAATGTTCCTTGACATCAAAAAACTGGTTCAATAACATAGATTTATGTACTATAAATATATATATATATATATATATATATATATATATATATGTTTATATATATATATATGTATAAATATAAATAATTATGTCTCCTGTTCTTCGGTTTTACGACGTTCCTTGCGTTTTAGTGGCTGGTTTTTTGGGGTTTCCTCCAGCTGCTCTGGTTGCTCTGGTTCCTGATCCTCCGTTGAGCTAACAGTCGACGACTTCCTCTGCCTGGAGAGGATCGGTGGATCGGCGGCGACGCCGTCGCGAATTGGCCACGCCCGCTGCACCGCCGGTGGCGCCCTTCTTCTTCACGAACTTGATGTTGTAGGGATCCTCCGCCAGCTCCGGATAGAGGGCCACGTCGTGGATGTACTCACCCTCGTAGTTGTTGGCATAGCTCTGCTTGAGTATCTCCTCGGTCTCCTGCTGGCTCCACTCGAGCGCGGTGGTCAGACCGCTGCGCAGCGCCTCCTTTTCGCGGTGCCACGCCTTCCGCACCGCCGTCAGCTTGGCATGGTGCATCAGTCGCTGCTGCTCCTTGGCCACCGTGGTGCCGTAGCGCAGATTGATGATGGCATGTGCTCCATGAATCTTCACATCCAGATAGTTGCCCGTGTTTGCCGACGAGCTAGATGATGATGCTGCTGATGATGATGATGAGGTCGCAGAAGATCCTCCTCCTCCTCCTGATCCTCCTGATCCTGCTCCCACTCCCACTGTCGCCTCGCGCGTGATCTCATGGAAGGTGGTGTTCACTTGACCCTGCAGCCGCTTCAGCTGCTGGCGATCCTCGGTGGCCCGCCAGGCGTCCTCCTTCACAAAGAAGAACGAGTCCTGCTGGGCATTGTGCACCACAAAGGTGAAGGGCAGCAGCTTGGAGCGATTGAAGACGCTGGTGTAGACGTCGCGGTAAATGGCATTGGCCGCCGGCACACTGGACACGATGGCCTGTCCGTCGGCGGTGCGCGATACCACGATGCCCTTGCCGAACGGTGGCTCCGTGTCCGATCCAATGGTCTTGGGCGATGGATCCATCACATCGCACTTGAGGGCAGACCGCGGCGGAGCGGACAGCTGCTCAAAGTCGGACATTCGGCGCACATTGAGGTGCGCCAGGAAGCCGCTCTCCACCGCCATCGTGGGTATATTATCGAAGGGCCGTCGCAGATTGAGGGCCACCGGATTGGCCACCGGATTGGCCGGGGGACGACCCCACAGCGCTGGCGGCTGCCACAGATCGCGGGCCAACTGGGGCACCAGATTGCCCACATTGTAGCCCAGCGTGCGCATCCAGGCGGCAAAGTCCTGCGGATACTGACGCTCATGGCCCACATTGATGGGATCGTTGCCATTGAAGCGATACAAATGCAACCGCGTGGGCGTTATGATCCGCTCCGCCACACGCTGCCAGTCCGGCGACATCCACTGTCCGATGAGGGGATCGTACACCCGACCGTCGCCCATGTGCACCAGCGTCGTCACCTGATCCAGAATGCCGCCACAAAAGTCAATGGGCAGGTACAAGTACGGATTCGAATCGTACACAATGTGGCCAAAGGGTGAACGCATGATCTCGCGTATGCCCTCGCCGTATTGATTGAAGAGCATCAGCGGAGTGCCGCTCTGGTCCGTGGCCACGTAGTACTTGTGCCGGTACACCTGGGCATAGATCAGATGGCCCACATCGTCGTACGTCAGCGACATCAGTTTGCCGTCACGCGGCGAATAGATCTGGCTAACCTCGTACGGCCGCCGCTGGTTGGTGTAGAAGAACTGCGTCACATTCCCAAAGTTGTCCTTGCGCGTGGTCAGCCGCTTCAGGTGATCATAGTAGTAGCGCACATCGAAGCGTCCCCGCTTCGAGGCCCTCACCAGCAGACCCTGTGTGTTGTAGTGGAAGCGCTCCTCGCGTGCATTCTGGGCCACCAGTCCGCGGGCATCGTACTTGTACTGCCCCTCGCCGAACTTCACGATCCGATCCTGGCCATTGTACTCCATCGGTATGGTATTGCCCCGATACGTCAGCGACAGCAGATTGCCATTGTCGTCGTAGCGGAAACCCCACGGCTCCTGCGCCTCCACGCCCACCAGCTGCCCGTCGCAGTCCCACGTGTAGTTCTTCACGTTCGTGTAGCTGTTCACCGCCATGTTGCGCGTGTATGTACGCGTCTGCGCAATGCGTCCGTGGACGCCGTACGAGAACTCCATGCGGAACACCTCCAGCCGATGGATGGCCAGGGCCATGCGTTGCGTCTGGAAGCGACCGTCGACGGTGCGCGTAAAGCTGGCCGTGCCATCGTGCAGTTGCGTCTGATTGAGCGCCGGCTGCGTGAACCGGAATTGGCCAATCAAACTGGGTCGACCGGTGCGGCCATCGTAGGCAAAAGCCTGCGTGGGCAAACTCTGACCACCGATCCGTCCCTGGAGGGCCACCACACGCAACTGTGAGTCATACTCGTAGCTAAACTTGGCATTGCTCAGGCCCGTCTTGGCCACATAGTCGATGCGCTCTTCGGCCAGCAGACCGGCGGCATACTCAAAGTCCCAGCGGTACTCCAGCTCCCGTTCCGTGTGCGACACTGTGCTGGGCATACCGGTGGCCTCGTTGTACTGGAACTCACTGCGACCGTCGCCGTGCACCACCTCGGTCAGCTGACCGGCGGCATTGTAGCGATAGACGATGCGTGCCCCGTCGCCCGGCAAAATGGTCTGGAGCAGGGCGCCCGCATGGCTGTAGTGCTGCAGGTAGGCCCTGGTGCTGCCCGGCGGCGTGTAGGTGCACCGGATGAAGCCAATGGAGGTCTGCATGCTGAAGCTGTGCCGTGTGCCCGAGGGCAGGACCACGTGCCGCAGTCCACCGGCATCGTCGTACTGCAGCACAAACTTGCGCTGGCTGGCCAAACCGATCTCGGATACCAAATTCCAGTCGTTGTACACGAACGATACAATGCCGTCCTGTTGCGACGTGATCTCCGAGAGCAGTCCATGCCGGTCGTAGCTGTACTTGAGTTCGGCGGGGCCCCAGGCCCAACCCTCGACGCGATTGAAGCGATCGTAGGTGATGTTCACCGGATGCCCGTTGGTGGGATAGTAGGACTTGGGCAGACCGGACTGATCGTACGCCACAATGAGGATGGGCGTGCGGCGGGCATCGTAGAAGGTCTCGCGATTGGTGTACTGATCGAACTCGACGCCGAGCACCCGCGACTGATTGACCCAGAGTTCGCGGTTCAGTGTCTGCTGGGGATTGCGCACATCGCCGACCAAACTGTACACCGAGTACATCGAATTAGTCAGACCCTCGCCCATGGTGACGCTCTGATGTGACCACATGGCCAGCATTTCGGCCTCCACGGGCAGGGCGGCCTCCAGTAGGGGATGGCGGGCGACGGCAGAGGCCTCCACTACGACACCATTGTCGCCGTGGATCACTAGGGTGTTGTTGGCCTTCAGTTCGGCATCGGCGTGCGCCTGGCCGCGTTTCAAGTGGGTGGATTGGACACCGCCTAGGACCAACAGTTCGTTGGCATCGCCGGCAAGATGTTCACGCGAGAAGAGCGACTCGACGGAGGCATGGACACGGACAGTGAGACCTTGGCTGGCCGCCAACTGGGAGGTGATGCGCACTATCTCGCCGCTGGGCAGGATTAGGCCGGTGACGCGACCAAACTCATCGTACTGATAGATGTACGTCTCGCCGCCCGAGGAGCGCGAGTTGAGCAGTCCCGTGTTGCTGTCGTAGTCCAGCTCGATCTCCTGGCGACCCTTCTCGCTCAGCTTGGTCATGATCCCGATGCCGTTGATCTGGATCTCTGACTTGTGGTCCTGTGTGTTCTCGATCGAACTTACCACGTTGCTGTAGTCGCGCAGGAACTGAATCTTGTTGCCCGACGCATCCGTCACCGTGGACAGGCGGCCGAAGCTGGTGTTCTTCGAGTAGAGGAAACTGTAGCGGGTCTTGCCCGAGGTCAAATCCTTGGTGGCCACATGCTGGCCGTACCGGTTGAACACGTAGATCTCGCTGGAGGGCGGGAAGGGGATGTGGAACTCGCCGTTCTCGTCGTGCGACGGCAAATAGTGCTCCAGGGCCAGCACGTGCAGAGATCCTGCGAAGAAACACATGAGAACACGGGCATATGGCTTAGATTTGGCATTTAACAATTTGGAATTCTATAGTTACTTAAGTGATAGGTCGTATTAAATTAAATCTGTAATTTAACTCGATTTCAATACATTTCTGGGTTGAATTAAAGGGGTTTATGATTAATCTTCAGCAGAGGGTTAATAAAAATAACTTATTGATTTCAACATAAAGCTATAACCTTTTCAAAAGCTGATGGCCAGTTTGTCAAAATTTTTTTTTTTTTAATTAATTAAATAAACACGAATAACCCTTAATATCAGAAATTACAGTGCATTTAACAATTTAGGGAAAGGTTTAACACTACATGTGATTCTATAATTATTAAAGTTTTTCATCATCATAAACTGTAATAAATTATATTCGTAATTTTACTCGATTTCATTACATTTCAAGATATAAGTATAAAATAGTTTAGACTTAACTTAAAATCTGCTGAATTCACCTTAAAGGTAAAGGCTTTAAAAAAGCTACTTAAAATTTCCTAAATAAGCGTAATTTTAAGGTAAATGTTTTTCAAATTAACTCGAATAGCCCTCAATATTGCATAAATATCAACGTAATTATTATCATACACTTGACTAATCTGGCTCTGTAACTTAATTGCATTTTAAAGTTAACTAGATTGCTAGATGGTTGAAGTTTGAGAACAATTCACTGCACTAAAAATAGCAATGACTTGGACTTAACTGTAATTCACTAAATGCTACTTCCAAAGAGCTATAACCAATGTCTCGAATAAGCCTTGTTATAAAAGACTGCTAATAAAAACCTTTAATATGCCACGAATTATTTGAGAAGAAAGACGTATCCTTTGATAGTTTCAAGCAGCCAGTTAATTTTTAATGCTTGTCGAAGGAAGTCATGTCTTGAAACAGACACTAAGTTGGAGGTAAAATGTGACTTTTTTACACCCTGATAGAGTGCAGCATACAAGCGTGGCTTATCAACTTTATTTACTACCTAATGGGTGGCAGGAAAAGCTGTCCCTTTTTTTTTGTTTTTTTTTTAGTGTTCTTCGGTGAGCATCTGCTTGGCATTTGATTACCTTTTTGCCCACGCTCTGGGCGTCGTAAAAAAGTCGCACACTCGCTGTCCTTGGCAAGATAATTGACTCATTTATTCATTCGCAGCTCCTTGGACAATTCCTTTTAACTGGTCATCAAATTTATTCGCACTTCCTTAACGCCCCACCCCAAAGTCGCTTTTCCATCGGTTTTGTTGATCATTTGCTTAAGCTAAACGCCAAGTTCCTGCAGCTGTTTGTTTTCACTGTTCTGCATTGCCCTCCATTGCAGTTTTCCTGCATTTTCCACCACCCACCACTATTCAAGCCACCCCCCCTCCTTTTTAGGTTTTAAATCACTGCAAATGCACAAATACAAAATGGCGTAGGTAAGTTCCCTCGTTCCCTCGCTCCCTCGATTTCTCGTTCCATCTGCAAACGAGTGTCTTAAGTATTTTTGTGCAATTTTCTACTGCTCATCGCCCCCATTCCCTTTTTCTGTTTCTGTTTCCTCTGTGAAGCGTTTCATTTTAGTTAGTGTTGAAAATCGCTTTGGATTTGCATAAATTTGCTTGCTTTCCGCCTCACGTCCCCCATTTCTCAAGGCAGCCAGTCAACCCCCTTTCTCCTACGGCTTTGCATTGCAAACGGAAAACAACAAAAGACGATGATGACAGCGTTTTGTATGAGAAACTAAGTGGAGAGTGCCGGAGGGGGCTTTGGGGCACATTAACTTTACATCATTGCGCACAACAACATTCATCTATGAATGCCACAAAACCTGGTCATCACTCAGCCCCAAAAAGTGAGCTACTACGAACTACTATTTTTGAATGTCATTTCTACCACGAAATAGGGTAAACAATGTTTTAACCATTAAACAAATTAAATCTTGAAGGATGGGGACTTTTATAATTCCAAATGGGTTGCCAGAAAACGTTCATAAGAAAGTCTGCTTAGCTAAAAAAGTATTAGTATGGATTATTGTTACTTTTAAACTGAATGTATGCTATAGAAAACAGGGTAAAATATTTTTTAAACATGTTTACCATTAAACTTTTATAGTTCTAAGTAAATTGCCAGAAAACATTCAACAGAGCAGTCTGCTAAGTTAAAACACTGTCATTACTAATTGAAGTACATATCTTAGAGTCACAAACACTTTTAAAAGTAATTTATGATCTTTAAAGTACATTTTCTAGATTCTATATTTACTATTTTAAACCTTATACCTTGTGGCACAGTTTGAATTGCCATATTTAGTCAACTTGTAAGTAAAAATATATCTAAAATAACCAAGTTCAAAAACTACCCCAGTTGTAGACCACCAACCATAAACCTTAATACCACACAATTATTGTATGCAACAATTCACCGCTGATTGCGAATTATGTGCCATTTGCCAGTTGGCATTTGCCAGTTGGCATTTGCACATATCACAATAAAAATATTAAATACATTGTGGCTCATTCTTATTGCGGTGCGGGCAGTGTTGATTTGATTGCGATACAGTTCATTTACCCGAGGACCCAGCAGCCACGATTCAGGATTGAGGATTGAGGATTCAGGATTCAGAATCCAGGATCCAAGAGACACATGACCGACCACCCACTATTCGGAAACTCAACCCCTCAACGCCCTTCCTCTGTGACCTTCTGCCGTTGGAGCGTAAGCCATTATGGTCTCATTTTAGAGGAGCATTTTGGTTTTGGGTTCGCGTTGATTACACAGTAAACAAAGCACTATCGCCAATTCACAAACACAATTAATACTGAAGATTTAGGTAAATTTAAGACCTTTCCCTACCAAATTGTAATAAATTAATTTAATAAGATTTATTAAAAACTAATTACAAATAATTTTCTGCAAAACTAAACAATGTGTTTTAATAAGCTCTAATAGATATATTAAATTATAAATTCGGAACATATTCTAATTATATTCCTTGGCACATATATATATATATTTTTTTTATATATTTTTTTTTGCAGTCCATCTATTATGTTTTTTTTGGCAGTGCAGACGTTTGGTTTTTCGAACTGAAGCTGGGGCATTGGCATTCGAATTGGCAGAGCTCCAGATCAGCGATTGAGCGAATTTCAATGCAATAAATGTGTGACGCTCAGCTGGAGGTTACCGCCCCCTCTCTCCCTCCCAACCACCCCTCATATATGTAAGTGTGTGTGTGTGTGTGTGTGGGCGAGCTGTAATGTAATGGTAATGACCCCATAAACTGAACAACTTGTTTGTGCCGAGTGCAAAGGGTTGTTGCCATTGTGTCGCCGAATGTTTGTTGCTCCACAATCCCCCACCCCTTCTTAGCGTACACACACCCATTACACACACACTCATAGATCCGAGGGTGTCCTGCAATTGTCCTGAACGTTAAACAGTCGTCATGGCCAGCTGGCATATGTCCAAATCGCTGGCAAAATTGATATCGATGGGGATTGGGAATGGGAATGGGCAGGGATATACGGATACATTGGTGTACAATATGGAGAGCCTTTGACTTTGCGATTTCTCGATATCGTTGAAGTGTAGCCATATAATCATTTCAATTTAAATTCTTCAAGTAAAACTAATTAAATTTGGCTAACCTTTTTTTAAGCACAGTCCTTTTGGTAGAAGCTGGTTTAATTTTAAAGTTCAAGATTTAAGAAAAAGCTTTGAAGACTAATAAATATATACAAAGTATGAATGCTAGTTTTTTAGTGTTCTAATTTAAAATTCGTTCCCTTTTTTATGTGAATTTTTCCCTTAGAAGAAGCTAGTTTAGTTTTTAAGTTCATCAAGATCCGCTTACACTTCCTAATAAATACTGGTTTTACTGTCCCAGTTCTTTCTCATTTAGCCTGTCACTCAGCGATTCCATCGATATTTTTCGTTGTATTTTATTTATTTATTTTTTTTTTAGGTCGTCCTTCTTTTCCTGGCAGGGCAATTAATGCAATAATTTTTCACACACACACACACATTGGCGCCGGGAAAAGGCCACTTAAGCTTGCGAGCTGCTAATGAAGCTTATTTACGTTTCCTTGGCCAGCAGCTACATTTGTATGTGTCTTGTCTGCTCGCACAAATACACTCAAATACACACCCACCCACACACACACACACACACACATACACATATCTCTGATTAATGTTGTGAGGATGGAGGTGGAGGGAGGGGCATTTTTTGGGTGGAAAAAGTTTTGCCAATTCAATGCCGCGTAGGTAATAAGATTGATTTTCACTTTTTCGCTTTTCACACTCACACAGCAATCACTCACACGTGTGCACAACCACCACCATCACCACCACCACCATTACAGCACCTCACCACCACCATCGCAGACTAAAACTTGATTAATTATAGCCATTGATTTGCTTTCCACGGCTTCGGCTTCAACACTGTCCCGGTTTGGCCTTTTCATTAATTTGCGCGCCGAGTTGCCGGCTTCTTCAACGACGGCTGATGATCCGCCGTCCAAGAACAAAAAAGAAAAATAGAAAAAAAAAAGGAAAACATACGAAAATGACCGCCCAAAAATCCACCCTTTTTGTCCATCGTTGTCGGGGAGTCGTGTTCGTCTCCATAGCTTCTGTGGAAATTTATTAATTACGTTTTTGGTCTTATCAAATTACGCTCTGCTAATGCACTCAAATTTATACCTTCCTTGCTTTTTTGAGCTTTGGCTTTTACAAGGGATACTCTACGTCTACACTGAGGAAAACACCATCGACATTTTAATGCTAAATTTACAAGACGCCTTTTGGCTATGAAATAAACTGTTTGAGCGAAATATTTTATAGAAAGTAGGGAGTGATTTCAATTAATGTTTTTTTTTATAGTTTTAGAAAAGTTAATGTCACAATTATTGGCACAAATTGAGAACTAAATTATGTTTGATCCAACAAACAAATCCAAACAAAAAAAAAAGATAACACATTTTTTTTATAGTTAAATGCTTCTAAAATTAGAATTTTAATTTTATAAAAATATGATAGCTAATGATTTTCATTTGGAATTTAGATTATTTAAGAAAGAACCTTTTAGTAAGTATGATTTTGGTTTATTTTTTCTCTCTGCCTTTTCCCCAAATTTTCCTTTGCTTTTCCTGCCCTTTCAACAAATTTATTGGCGGCCATTTTGTTTTGTGTTTCTTCAGCTACCTGAGTGAATGTGTGTGTGTGTGTGTGTGAGTGGGTCCTAATTTGTCCTCGTTCGAATTGTAACGGAAATTGGTTTCGCTCTTTTCCTTAACCCCTCACCCCCCGCCACCCACTTTTCCGACCACTTTTCCAGTGCCCCCCAACCCCCTTCGCCATTATGGCCAATTACAACAACAATTGCGTGTTCCTCCACAGCTTGTTCATTGTTCAAGTTTTGTTGCCATTTCCGTGGCTCTTTCTGTTGTTGCTGTGTTGCTGTTGCTGTTGCTGTCATTATTATTATTGTATTTGCTGTGGTTGTGTTTTGCAATATGTCGAAATTCAACTTCCGGTTTTCCATAAATTTCTCTTCTTTTTTTTTTTTTGTATTTCCTATACTCCACCAGCCAGTAGTTAACATTTTCTATTTTTTGTTCCCTTCACCACTTGTTATTGTTAACACAGCAACATGGCCCAAAGAAAAGGAAAAGAAGAAGTGCCAGTTGAAGAAAATTTGCCAAAGGAAATGTTCCATTTTCCATGCTGTTATGTGTGTGTGTGTGGGTGTGGGTGTGTGCATTACAAAAGCAAATTGCCTGGCCCACACACACACATACACACAAACACATGGGGCAAACAGTTCGAAGGAAGATGACAAATTTGCTGTATCAGATGACAGTTGTTGGGAACCCAACTGTCAGACCACTGAAATAGCAATATGGCTTGGAGTATACTTATGAAAAACGCATCGAAAACCTTCGAGAACATGCTACAAAATGAAAATTATTGATTCACAATGCCTATTTACTCAGCATAATTTATATATGTAACTTAGTGGAGACTTACATTTTACCAAGAAATATTTTGCACTTTCTTATAAAACGAAACAATCTATCTATTACTTCATGTTCAAGTTGCTAAGCTTTAACTTTAATTTGAATTACGTTTATTACATTCGAATTGTTCTTATAATTATTCTATTTAGTTCTTAAATGTTGTTAAGCAATAATTTGATATTTTAAAAAATCTTCATTATCATCAAAAGAGTTTAACAAACATTTTTCCCTATTTTAACGTTTTATAGATTATTCTTACCAAGAATTAGAATTTTATAATTTAAGTTCTTATCACCAAACATTCTTGTCAATTTATAAATTCTATAAATGCAAAAAAAAGTAGGAACTAAACAAAAACGAGCTTTTGATTAATATATCTGATATTCTTAGAGTAAGAATGGTGTCTCGAATTGCAAACTTGGAACTAGTATATTAATATGGATTTTAGCAACCTTAGCGATAAGTTTACAACTATTTAAACTAAAAAATACAGATTAACGACAAATTCCCCACATTTTGGATACCTAACAAAATCACTTAATTGTACGATAAGCCAGGATTCGCGACTCACCTTGATCGGCCACATTGATGACCCCGTCCTGGGCCACTGCGATGGCGGAAATGGCCTGGAATCGGGCGTTCGAGGAGAGCAGCGTCTCCGCGTTGCTGAGTGTGCCGTCGTCGTTCAAGGTGGCCGCCCCGCCGCCGATGCCCGCTGCCGTGGTCTTGGCGCCCAGCAGCACAGTGGTGGTCGTTGTGGGTCCCGTGGACATCAGACCGCCGCTGCCCACGATGCTGGCAAGGGTGCCGCCGCCGTTGCCGTTGCCATTTCCGGAGCCGGAGTTCGAGCCGGATCCGGCGGAGAGGGCAATGCCGCCAGCACAGATGCAGGCACCACCGCCGTTCGCCCCACCGCCGGAGGAGGAGCCACCAGTGCTCGAGGTGGCCGACGAACCGTTGCCATTTCCGCTTCCGTTTCCGCCCGACGGGGTGGTGGGCGTGGTGCCGCCATTCGGCCGCGTTGGGTTAACCGTTGTCGAATAGGCGCCACCGCTGGCCCCGCCCACTCCCGCGGAGGCAGCGCTGCCATTGCCACCGCCTCCAATCGCACAGTCGCAGGTCTGGGAACTGGTTTAAAAAAAAAAGCAAAGAACAAGCGAATTAGTTGTGCTTGGAAAATGTGGTAATTAAACACTCGGTTGTCCAAGTTCCAAATTTTAAAGAAAATCAATTGGCAGCCCTTATTTCAAATGGAAATAGCCATAAACACATTTAATCAAAACCTTTATAAAAATAAAGCCCAAATAAATAATTAATAAATACTTTGGGCATATATTGAGAATAGTTGCATTATTAATACTTTATTTGTCTATTTGTAATATTCATATTACAAAACTGAAAATACGAATGAAATAACCAACACAAAAGCCCAAAAGGAGAAAGAGTTTTGCAGTTTCTTCAAATAATACATAATACTAGAGCAAGTTACTTTGAGCTTTCCCATATATTTTGAATAGAAAATTAGAAATTGTTAAAGCAATTAATAAAAATATATACAACTTAAAATAGCCAGCTATCAAAGCTACCTATGCTAATACAAGCCGAATGAGTTGTTCTGTCCAACTTCTGGTAGGCTACAGATACGCCTTATTGTTATATGGTACGAAGGGTCGGTCGAGAACAATCACCCACCCACACTCCTTATTTCCGTATTTTTCCTATCTTCAGCCGCACCCTTTCTCCAGGCTTTCTCTTCAGGATTTCCCCCTTTTTTTTACTTGGATGGCTGCTCGGGACGCATATTTATGATGACATTGTTTGTTCGATAAACAGTCTAAAGTAAAGCGAGCTCCGGGCGCCGCTTATCGCTGCCACGCCCACGCAACAGACACGGACACAGACACAGACCGCCCCCCATCCACCTTTCCGCCGCCGACCCTTAACCCCCGACTGCCGGTGAAACCTTAACCCTTAGCCCCTTTTGGCCGCCTCTCGAAAGATATGGTTCTGCACAAAAGACGTCGGGGGAAGAAAAAAAAGAGTGAAAAGTTGATTTATAGTTTCTGTCTGTGGCGCGACGGCCGCTAATTACTTTGCCACGTCTGCCGGCCACGCCCACTTGAATCAAACGCCCCCTCCCCCTCTCTCTTTCGCCTATCTACCCTTTAACCCCCTGGCACCTGACGCCATTCACATGACCCCCTTCACCCCCATTATCGCCGCTGTCCAGAGTTGTAGTAGTTGCTTAAATCAACTGCGACCCCGAATATTCAGTTGGGATAACGTTGCACAATATTCCCTAACCCCTTCAAAAACTGTAGAATATCCATGAGTTTTGGGGCATTTTTTTTGACGCCAATCAACGAACCAAATTAATTGGTTTAGTGTACATTTTGTGATGTAAAATAGGAAGGGAGTCATCAAAGCTGTAGAATTTTATGCTTTTCACTTAAATAATTTAGTTATTTAAGTGCATTTACCACAATTAAGTTGGGAATTTGCATTATTGACCATTTACCAACACTGAGTAAATTTAATCTAAATATAACTTCATTACAACTAAATTAAAAAAAAGAAAAGTTGCTGTTTCGTCAACGAACATATTGAATTTCATAAAATATCAATTTATACTTGAATTTCACTAACCCACACTGGCCAGTATTTACTACAATACTAAGCGGTACTGAACTTAGCAACACTGAAAATCATAGCCCATTCTTAGCATGGCATAAAATTATTCCGTTTGCGTCAGGAATTTAAGTTCATTGACTGCTGTTTCCGTTTCCGTTTTCTACCCCTCTTTAATCAATGCATAAAATGCAAATGGCTTTAGTGCCTTTGGAGCACAAATGCACGCACAAACGGACATTTATACACATATTGTTGTGTGTCTGCGTGTGTGTGTGCGTGTACTGGGGCCATGAAAAATCAGACAATGAAATTTCCCAATGTGAGAATTCCAATTAATTTCTGGTCACCGTTTCTCGATGCCTTCAAAATGGGTTAATAAAGTCAAATAAAGTTAACATGGCTCCGAATGGAAAAACCGAAAAAGCGAAAAAGAGATGGGTAAGCATACGAGTACATACCTATATAGTATATGTGTATATATATATATAGGATGGGAATACTCGAATACTCTGGGGGTATTGCCTAGTTGGCCTGACATTTATGGCCGTTTTGGTGCATTGGCAATTTTGTGCTGCTCTTGCTGAATTTTTATTATTTATGCCCCACTCTACGGTATCCTTTCTCCTTTCCGCTCGCCCCTCGTCCTGTGCGTTTTGTCGTCCCGTGTGTCGTTTCGGTAGACATTTTGAAAAATTGCCTGATATCGTTCGGCAATATGCAAATAGCCCGGAGCTCACTTAATTGGGTCAAGTATGCGCATAAACAAGTCCGAGTGGAGTGGAGTCAATCTGCCCCGCCCACCCTTTCGTCCCCCGATTTTTCCCCCTGTTTGCCCAACGATTTCCCCAACCATTCGCCATCATGTTCCTCCGTTTGGTTTTTGGCCAGCGGCCTGCTGACCAAATTCCCTGTTATGTTGACCCAGTAGCCAGTCAATATTTGAGGGCATAAAACAACTAAGAATGCAATAGTTCGGTTATTCCGACTACATATACGGGGGGCCAACAGCCAACAGCCAACTGCTGGGAATTATTTATTTTCTATGCACTTTGATAACTCGCTGAAGTCCAAATGGGGCACCACATTGGTATAACAGCCCCGCATTGACAGTGAAAAGGGTGCCCTTTGATTTATAACATCCTAAACTAAGCTCCCTCAAACTGTATGAAATATTGCTTATTCAACTTTCGAACAACATTCATATTTTAGAATCAGCATAAAATCCAAGTCAAAAAAGAACTCATAATCCCTTCTAATGTTAAATAAACAATGCAAACAAAATTAATGGTAACGATTCATGTTTGTAAACAGTCGGAATATTTAGGGTAAAATATATAAGAACTTAATTACATACTTAATTAAAATTTAGAAACTTAAGAGCTCACTCTTTTTAACCGACAAAAAAAGAATAATTTAAAAACAAAAAAGGGAATTTGGAAAAACCCAAATTAAAATTCTGTAATTTATAACCATAGTCTGTGTAATTTAGTATTTCTTACTCGAACAGTTCCAGAGAACGAAGAGGTTGTTCTCTTAAGCGGACAATCAATGAATTATTAAAAAAAAGAATGAAATTTTGGGAAACAAATAAATTAAAATTTTGTAATTAAAATGTAGTATAATTTTTGCAACCACACCAATAGTCTTTCTTATTCGAACAGTTCCTCAGAACTATGAGCATGTGCTCTTAAACGGACAAACGGACAATGTTACAGTTTATTTATAGCGTATATATAGCCAAAGACTGTCTACTCACCCTGTGCCCTCCTGCTTTCCGGCAAAGTATCGCATATTTCCGGCAGTGTCCACCACGCGAATGGAATTGACCCTTCTCGAGTCGCTGTCCGCAATGTAAAGATTGCCGAAGGGCGAGAAGGCCATGGCCAGAACGGTGCCCAGGACATTGTCCGTGCCCGTCTTGTTGACCCTGCCGTCCTGCCCGCCATTGCTGCAGTGCAGCGGTGTGCCGGCCACCACGCGGATCTTCATGTCCGAGGTGAGCCGCAGGACCAGGCGATCGTCGATGAAGTGCAGTGAGCCGTCCAGGGGACTCAGTGCCAGGCCGGTGGGCCATTGCAATTGCGCCTGATTGGCCATCAAGGTGCCGCTGCAGGGAGCCGGACTCCAGTGATTGTGGTGTCCGTGATGGCCAATTAGGGTGTGGATCACACCCTTGGGGTCCACGGCTCGGATGTTGGTGCCATCGGCAATGTACATGGTGCGATCGGCTGCGATGGCCAGTCCCTTGGGATGGGACAGTCGAGCCAGGAGGGCGGGACCACCGTCGCCGCAATTGCCCTCGTCGCCGGGAATGCAACGCTGGCCACTGCCCACCACGGGATCACTGTTGATGCTCGGATCCTTCACCTTCTCGAGCCGCAGCAGCCGGAGGATCTGGTGCCTCTCCGGATCGGAGATGTACAGGTGTCCGTCGGCCGGCGAGACGGCCAGGTAATATTGATACGACACTTGCGTGGCACTCAGCTGAAGGATGGTGAACACCTTGCCGTCGGGCGTAATGCGACGCACCAGATTGAAGTCACCCACATAGAGACTGCCGTCCGGTCCGGTGGCCAGGGCAATCGGAGTGAGCAGCTTGGCATCCTTGGCCACGCCATTGCAGTAGTCGGGACAGGTCAAAGGTCGTTGCAGGCCGGTGCCCATCACCACCTTAACCGTTCGCGGGTACTCCTTCATGTGCAGCGTACTGCCATCGCCCTTCTGCAATATGCCCTCGTGGAAGTTGTAGTGATGATGGATGTCCAGACCCCATCCCCCGATGTCGGATATATCCACGTCGTAGCCCTGCAGTTTGGCCGTCTGGGCAATCCAAACGGGCGACTGGCATGTGCTGTGCTGGTAGCCCACCGAAATCCTTGCCACGGTCACACCGTATACCTTCTGGCGATACACGTTGCGCTTGTTCCACGCAAACGTGTGCACCAAACTGGGATCCGCTTCGTACGTCTTCACATGCAGGGCGCCCTCGATCTCCACGCCCACATGCACGTGGGTCAGGGTGGGCGGTATGGTCTCAGCGGTCAGACGCATGCGCACGATGCTCAGGTAGCCGCTGGCTTGCGAGGATTGATACGTCAGGTGGAGATCCGAGCCCGGTATTTGGATGGATTCTTGCACGATCTGTGGAGGGACAAACAAAACCACTGAGTTACGATTTTGGCAAGCGTATTTATATGCCTCTGTTATTTTGGTTTTGCCCTATCTGCTGGTTGAGTTAATGTTTATTTCGGAATGTTATTTAAAAGTTAGTTAAAATATTTATTCTTTCTTTAATAAATACTTTAACCTAAAAGCACAAGTCATATAATTATTTGCATGATATGTTTTTAGCAATATAATTTTAATTTTACCAAACCTTAAGTTAAGGTAACATTAAGAATATTTAACTTCATGATTTTAAAGGCTAACAAAACTAACTCAATACTACTCAAAATATCTATAATTTTTATAGTTTGTTTAACTAGAAGAACATAATATATTAAATATTTAAAATATTATTTTGGAGTAAAAAGGTTAAATTTATCGAATGTGATTGAACTAATGGCTTGTTAGACAACTAATATTTATTAAAATGCATTGTTGCCTGATTTTTACACTTATATTGTTTTCTGACTATTGCCATAGCTTGACTGCCCTAGGTGACTGTTAACCCTGGATAACTTTGACTAGACCTGGGAAAATGTCTCTCAGCGGCAACTCTGGTAGAGAGAGGATGGGGCAACAGGGAAAGTGGGGAAAGTAGGGAAAGTGGGGATGAGATAGTGTCTACTGGTGACCGCAGCTGGACAGGTTCGAGTGCTGCAATTAAACGCATTGCGAATCCAGCGAGGGCCAGACCTTCGAGGAGAGGTTTCTCGCTTCTCTGGCAGAATTAATGTCTACCTCACTGGCCCTTTTGGCCCAACAGCATCATCCTCCTCCTCCTCCTCCTCCTCCTCCCACTCCACCGGGCAGATGCAAAGTTATAATGTCATTAAGGCAAACTTTAAATTAATTAAAACTGCGCTGCGTCCAGCAGCAGCTGCCAGGACTGCTAATTAGGAATGGCATTAGGGACCGGGCGTTGGGGTGGATGAATGCTAAATGAGAGACGTGGCGGAGGAGGAGGCGGAGGCGAAGGACGAGGACGTGGTGGTGGAGCAACCAACCCAACGCACCTGAGTTTCGGCAAAGATGACCCTCTTGCCGGGCATGGCGCCCACTCCATTTGGCATCCAGGTGCTGATCAGTTGGGGCCGCAGCTTCTCGTGATCGTGGTCCATGCACACCTTGCTGGCATCGTTGGCCTCGTCCGCCGTGTGATAGTGGATCGAGTTCAGGAACGTCAGGGCGGGATTCAGCGGAGCCACCCTGCAAAATGGCAAAATCACAAGGAAATTATTAATTATTATAATTAATAAAGTAAATATAAAATTAATGTTATGTAGAAAAGATATTTTAAAAAGTCCATAATAGTTTATTAACTAATTAAAATGATTTAAGAAATACTTTAATCTATAAAAGAATTGTTTTAAAATACATTTTGTAATACCTGACATAAGTTTTTGCAATATTAAAATGATATTAATGTCAACAAACATTTTTAGTGTTTAGAAAGGCTAAACAGCTAAACATTATATTTGATTAAACTCTTTCAAACTTTAATGTGTAAAGGTAAATGTTCTAAAAAACAGTTATTATTCATATTAAGACCTTATGCAATGAAATTAAATTAAAGCACGCGTTTTAAAGACTTTTAAAATTCAAACCAGCTATGAGATTGTGGTTGTGTGAAGATTAAACTCGCTCCCTTATTTAATGAGGTGCGTAAGACTAAGAAACTCACTTGATATTCCGGCTGGTCGTCTCGTCGTCGTCGCTCAGCTGCATTTGCACGGGCGGAAGCACCACGATCCGGTTCCAGGGCACAAAGACGGTGCGGGTCAAAGGTCGGAAGGGGGAGCGCTGGAACTGCAAGGTCACCGCTCCGCCACCATTCACCAGCACATCGAACCTGTAATAGGAGTGGGGTGGGGGCAAAAAATATGAAATGGAATACGAAATTAGTACAAAAGTTGCTGGCAAACATGCAAATTAATATTTTAATGAACTTGAAGGGAATAGCGAATTTGCACCCCTCTGCTCAGTTCTTGCGACCTAACGCCAAGGTATAGCCCCAGATAATACCTCAATTGTTTGTGGGAAATTGAAAAACTTTAGATGCCGACTTGTTGGGTGGGTGGGAAGGTGGGGTCGCAGAAGGTATAGAGCATAAGTTAAGCCACCCCAACCAAACACCCCCCTTACTTCCCATGCGTTAGCCGCATTAAATATAATGATGGCGATTGCGAGCCGCCGCCATTATTACAAGAGAAAATTCGCATTGCAGCTACGGAAAAGTTGCACAAACTTCTGCCAAGAAGACGAAGATGTTGGAAAACAAAGGGCCACAACAACAACAACAACAAAAACTAAGTCGGGGAAGGGGGGGAAATGGAAAAGAAAATGCAGGAAAACGACAAGGTGGAGGTACAAAGCCAAGTCGCGCTGGAAACTCAAGAAATGGCGAAAACTTTTGCTTTTGAAATATTTAATTAATGCGATTTTTAATTGTGTTTTGTGCGTGCGACGGAGATAGCGCAGCGAACGAGATGGCCTGCATCTGGAAAATGTTTTCAATGCCCTGATCCTCGTGTTTTTCCCCCGCTCAATTGAAAGGACAGAACATTCAATTGAATTGTCTCGTTAACCAACAGCGACCAAAGCTGCCAATAAACATGTCCATAAACAAGGGCATGCATTTCATTAAAAATAAAGTGGTAACAAAATAAACGGAGAAAACAAAAAACTAAAATACAAGGGAATTTGTAAAATTTGTTACAATTTTTGCTAATTTAATTTTACGATTTTGCCACTATACTGCAAACTGTTTTTATGGCATGCATAAAGAAGCTACACATATTCCATACACACACAGTCGGAGCAAAAGAAGAGGTCTAATTATTGCATTGAATCAATTTATTAATATATTTAAGTAAATTGATGATTTTAATTAGTCTAAAGATCAAATCAAATAATCAAATGAAGTAATTTAAAAAATGTTGATATAAATAATACTTTTTAATATTATTTTCCCCATTTGAGTTCTAGAAATTCAGAATTTATTTACCTATTGGCTTTGCCCAATTTTAGTGTGGGTTAATTTATAAGTTTCGAAAGTCAAAAAGGATAAATATTATTTTAAATTTAGAGTTGTTTGGTTTTTCAAAGACCTATTTTTTTGACTACAGCTGTGCCAGGCTACAGTCCGCTATGGCATTGCATTCATTCATTTGTAATTGAATTGGATTTTATGAGCATGACCAGAGCGGAAAGCCAGAGAAATGCGAGGAGTGGCAAGTGGTTCAGTGGGTGGTTTCTGGCTGGTTTTGGCTGGTCCTCGGGTGGTTCGGTGGGTGTAAGGCATTTGGCGGAGGCGAAAACCCAAAAACATCTACCCCACACACACACATGGAGACATACGTTTCGCATACTCTAATAATACTTATGCAATAAAAAATGCCAACAATAATCCCCTGCAGCACAATATAATGTCTTTTATTACCTTTATTACTATGACAACAACAACCAACAATGCATGTTAGCAAGCAACAGCCACAACCACAACAAAAAAAAATGTATATGAAAAGGAGCGGGATAAGAAAAAAAAAAATTAAGCAGGACAACAAATGGCCAAAAGAGCAACAAGAAAAGTCGGTCCTAAGGAAAATAGAAAATGCGAGTGTGTGTGGGGTAGCTAATAAAAGCATGAAATTGAAATAAACATTATAAATACAAAACCATAAAATCCTGCAACAGACCCAAGGAACCAGCCACATACAACAATCTGAGGCCAAAAGTATCCTCCATACACACATATGTATGCGGAAAAAATGGGGCAGGGAATCCGCTAACAACACACTGTTGCTTATTGGGCCGCATAACATGGCACAGCAGCAACATTAGCAACAGCAACATAAACCAAAATGAATTCAAAAAAAAAAAATTACTCATATTTAAGTACACAGAAAAACAAATTTTTGGTAGAATATTAAAGAGTGAAATTTGAAGAATATTTAAATTTTTTAAAGCAAAATCAAACAATTTGTGATGCTAAATAAAAATTATGTAGTAGTATGCTTCATATGAGAAAACTGTGAAAAAAAGTTTTGAATTTCAAGTTCATTATGGCAATAAATAAATTGTTTTTTTTTTGCAACTTAAATAAATAAAAGGTTTTAATTTTAGAAAAATAATATATATAATAAAAACCTTAATGAATACAAATATGTCTCTGTGTGCCTTTAAAAACCAATTTAAGTCCAAAGCGGATCAATAAAGGTTGGGGAAAGCCAGTAAAATGTGAGTGAAATAGTGTCACTAAATTGCTGGCCAACAGTGTATATAAGAAGCCAAAAATAATGCGAGCATAAACAGGAATTATTGCAAGCTAACACACACAGTACACAAGTGGCAGGAGCAGCAGAAGTAGCAGCAGTAGCAGCAGTAGCAGCAGGAATAAGGAGGCCAGCAGAGACATAAAAAATAACAAGGACACAGAGGGAGCGGAACAAGTTTAAAGTCCCTCAAAAAGAAAGAAAGAAAGGGGGGCCAAAATAAATAACAGCAAAGTTGTCATAATAAAAATACATAAATAAGGAGTAAGGAATTTATGCCAGGACCTTTTCGTCGGAAAGTAGTTGCAGCGACATATTTGAAACGGCAGCAACATGCAACATATCGTTTACTTGGCCATTGGCCTAATGAGAAATTATGGCCACAGAGTCAGCTAAAAGGTAAAGGGTAATGGGAAAAAGGTAAAAATCTCCTGGCCCACATAGGTATGCTATGCTCTATACACCTTTCTATTTGTCTAGGCTAATGTGCGACTGTGTGTGCGAGATTGAAATAAACAAAGCTAGTGTGTGTGTGAGTGTGTGTGTGTGGAAAGTAAACACAAATAATCATCAGACAGTCGGAGTTTTGTCTGTCTGCTGCACAGATTTTGTTTGTATTCCTCCGCTTGGCCATAATAAAATCATGCAGAGTCGGGTGCGAAATGTTTATTTAAATTGGCCAACACACACTCACACACACACATGGGTGAAAAAGAAAATGGCAAAACAACAAGGACAGCAAACAATGTTGCTGATGGCAGCAAACGGAAATCCTTTTAAGAGAAGGAAAAACAACTGCAAAAATATTTATATTAGATATATTGGATTGCCGGGCGGTTGTCTCTTTTCCGCTCCGCATTTTCCATCCTTTTAGAAAATATTCTGTCCTTGCATCTTTGATGGGCTCAATTAGAGCAAAAGTTCTCTCGGCATTTGTGCGCTTAAAAAGCAATTCGAATGAAATGTCAAATAATTGAAACTAATGTCCCTTTTATTCCCCGCCCACCACCACCATTATCACCACCATCCAAAGAGCCACTCCTGTGGCTTCTGGCCAATTGTGGCCTGTCTGCTCTAATTATGCTAACCACTTGTGTAAACTTGAGGACAGGACAGCCCCAAGAAGTTGGCGGCACATCAAAGCGAAAGATTTAATTAAAAATTTGATAACTTGCCCTCGCCAGCGCATCTCAACCTTCCGTTAATTTTTTTTTTCTCTTCCATTTTTTTTTGCTCATTCTGGGTCTTCACTTTTTGGCTGCGCGCACAGTGCTTCTGGCCATCGGCGGATTTCATCAGCAGAATTTAATCAACGAAAAAAGTTATCCCCCCTCGATGAAGGAACTCATCCATACGTAAGTAATTTGCATTCGCTGAATGTAGTGTGCACACACGTGTACAGTAGAGCATCGAAAGAGCCAACAGATTCAACGCCAAAGTATATAATATAAAATGAAGAAGAGCTTCTTGTTTATTTACTGTCTTTTCGGAATATTTTATATCGAGAAATCGGTGTAACTTACAAAATTAAATGTTATCAAAGCAGTTATAGCATAGGCAATGACTAAACACAAATTTGTTTATTTATTTATTAAATGCCCATGTCTTAAAAAAATATTTAATTTTTACTCAATTTAAAGCAAATATTTAAAATATTTTTAAATTGTTAACAAAACAGTATTATTTGAAGCCAACCCAATTTTGAAAATCGTTTTATTAAGGTGTCTTAACAGTTTTACTTTTTAACTTTTACTGTCCACTTTTGATGCTTTACTGTTTGTAAATTAAAATATATAAGATATAAGAGTACTACTCACCATCCTCCTTGACGAGTTAGGGTGAACCCAAATCGGGAATCACGATCCACGGAAACCCGTATGCCGACGATGCCCAGACCTTGGGGTGTGATCACCTGACCTCGCATCACCGATACGCGACTATTGGGGTTTTCCAATCCAAAGTTTCCACGTCGAAGTTTGATGGGGGTTTTTAAGTTATTGGGGTTTGTAAAAGACAAAAATATATCTGTTAGTTACTTGGCATATTTGCGTTCGAGTTTTTGTTTTTCTTTCATTATTATTTATTTTTCTTTTTTCTTTTCTGTTCTTTTCTTTTATTTTATTTTCCTTTTCTTTTCTGTTGGTTTCTAATTTAGTTTTGTGGTTAAAATCATACGTTTTGAAAAAGGTGAAGAAAACATTGAGCAATTGTCTGTATTGATGGAATGGGAAAACTGAAAAGCGACTCGATTGTTTTCTCAGCACTTGGCTCTAAGGACAAACCGAAAAAAGTTATGCAATAATTTGAGGATATATTTATAAAAATATATATAAATATATTTATATATATGTATATATATTTGTAATATAGCTAGGTTTCGTATGCATATGTATAGGTATTTGTATTTAACTAGGAGTGTATGTATAAATAGAGAGAGATAGAGAGAGAGACGGAAAGAGCGAGCGAGCGAGACGGAGAATGAGATGGAATGAGTTTCTAAGAGTTTTGTCGCCAGGAATGCGTTCACTACTTTGTTTATTTGTATTTTTATCTGTATCTTTGTATCTCTGTATCTGGATCATTGTATCTGCAACTACAGTGGATTTATATCTTTGTGTGTGTGGCGCTTGTGGGTGTGAGTCTTTGAGTGTGTGGAATGAATCGAGTGAATGTCCAACAATGAGTTACGATAAAAAGAGGGCAGGGGATGAGCAGGAGGGGGGGATTGGGATTTCCCCACCTCCTACTTTTCCGGGATGCAAGTGCAAATGGCACTTGGCACGCAGCTTGGGGAAGGTGGAAATGCAGGGGAGGAAAAGGGTTAGGAGATTTTCGAGTCCCGACTTCGGAGTGCCAATATATATCGAATCCTCCAACTCTTCTTAGCGAGCTCATCAGAATTTCAAGTTGGTTTCGGTTTTAAATGGAAAGCTGCGACCAAAAGGAGGAAAAGGGATGTGCAGCGATTGATGGGCTATCGATTGGTGGGTGAATGTTATCGAAGGCATTCGGCATTAGTTTCCACTGGAGAGTTAAGCGTGAAATAGAAGCAAAATGAATCAACATTGTTCAAAAAACAAGTGCAAAAGGTATTTATCGATAAGTTTTAAGTGGTATCGTTAAAAAGTACCCTTAAGTTTCTTAAACCATTGCTAAAGTGGTATCATTATAATAATATTAACAAGTTCAAGCTTCGGTTAATGCTGAACCACAAATAAGAGCAAATCGATGAGTTAAATCTCTTGCCTATCGATAACTTTAACCACCGATTTCAGCACCACCAAACGATTTATAAACGTATTCAAAATGCATGCAATAATTAAACAATTATTATTAGGGGAAAAACTATTTTATAATTCATTTCGATATATATCGCAATGGCTGCGATTTTCAGCGATATTCGATAGATGCAGCTAACGGCCAACAAGGCCAAAACGATCAACTTAAAATCAATGAAAGTGAAACCAACTTAAAAGCACAAAGCTGGAGGAAATAAAAAAAAAACATTTGACCCGATAACGAAAATCGATTGTCGTTCGGATGGAAATGGGATACTTTCCACGGGTCGAAATGCAAACCGAGTCAGTTGCCCTTGCAGTGTCCTCTGGCAGTGTTTAACCCTCCACAGCCCCCACAATCTTTTGATGAGGGACGCAGCTGCGCGACCCAAAATCATTTTCATTTCCATTTACATTTCCATTTAATGAGGAGAAACTATGACAACCCGCTTTCTTTGTCACTTTCTCCGCATAGAATTGGGGGGCTGCACCGATATCCGATTTCAAGTTTGGCAATTTATTATGACAAAGGAGCACACAAAATATGCTTTATATTTCCAATGAGTGAAAAAGCAGCAGGGTTCGGTCGTCCCTGCCTAAAATTTCTTTTTCTATGTAAGTATATTCTTCAGAATTGCAGACGCTTCTTGAAAGAAAATGCCGCATTGAGGCTTAAAAGGCAGGGTCGCTCGCCAAAAAGCGGGTGTTCCGGTAAAGTTACCAAGGATATCGGAAACGAGCGCAATTGTTTGCACTAATTACTGCAGAGTATGAGGGGTTTCAAGGGGAGGGGGGGCGGGGGAGTTTTGTTCCCCGTCATCAGGTGCAGCCTCTCACCCTTTTTTAAAGTCCCTTTTTCAGAGTCCGAGGACTGCAGTTGGCCTCTTTTAACTTTTGTGCCAGCGCAAGTTCTCGAAAACATTTTCAAGTTTTCAAGTGTTGCAATTTCTCTAGCCTCCCTGCCACCCCCTTTTTTACTGTTGTTCCGCCCCCTCATCTTTTTCCACAACCCCTACACCCCCCTCTCACGCTGTCCCATTTCTGCTTTCCTCCTTTTTTCCTAACAGACATAAACACATAATGTACACTATTTGGGTCAGAGTTTTATGTGCTCAGTTGCATTTTTATTAGGCGAGAGCACAGAGGGGGTGGCAAAAATTGCAGGCAAAGGTCGTCAGAAAGTGAGCGAAAAGGGGGTGGCTAAGGCGAAGGCCCATTGGAATTCTTGGAGAGCAGCACACTTCTTCACTGACTTCTAATTGCAATTGACCAAAGTCCGAGGTTCCGTGTTCAAAAGTCATGCCCAACTAGCTCTCTCTTATTTTTTTTTTCTTTTTTGTCAAAGTGTGTGTGTGTGTGCCACGCCTACTACTCCGTACCCCCCCTTTATTTTACCACAAAAAAAGGAGGCATTCAACCCCTGGCATTTTACCCACAATTTCATTTTTCCTGCCTCAATTCGATGCAATGAAGCAACATTTTATTTGAAATCAAACCGAAAAGCAAATTGCAGGGGTATAAGTATTTTTTTTTTTAGTTGAGTGGGTGTGCGTTGTATGTTTAAATAAATATATATATATATATATATATATATATACGTATGTATTCCGAGTCATTGAAGTGGTGAGTGCCATTGATTTTTATTTCGCATTTGATTCGTTTCGTTTCATTTATTATTTATTTGATTTATTTGCACTGCAGCTAAGGAACCTTTTTGGCCTGCTTCGTCGTTGGCTGGCCAGGTAAATCACTCATACGCCACCGACACTTGAATGTCTTCAGCGCATTTCGTTTTGTTTGCTCTGCTCTGCTTTGCTGCGTCTCGTCGTCTCGCATCCATTCAGTTCAATTCGGTTTGATTTGGTTATGAGAACGGTTTTCACTTTGATTTTGTTGCCATCGAAATGGAAATGCTGCACTTAGTGGACGAAAGGCGAAGAGGCGGGGGAAAACCGCCTGAGCAGTCGCCTCAAGGACCCACATTACGTATACGCAACACTTTTGGGAAGGAAAGTGTTAATTCAAGAAACGGTTCAGTGCCTTTCTGAGTGTAGAGCTTAATATTTTTCTTTAAATTCTTAAGGCATATAACAATTTGGCATGTGTTGTAAATTGAAGCACCTTCAAACTGTTTAATATTACATTTAAAACTATCTGATTTATGCTATCCCCATAAAAATCGATATTATTAAAGAGCTTATTTGTTTGTTAATTAATTACATTTATTTGTGAAATGTAATGTAAGCTTTTAAAATTTCATAGAAAGTTTATTTAAATTGGATTGTAGATTCCAGATTATTTAGTTCTTTCAAAACCTATGTGCATTTTTCCATATTGCAAGTGTAAAGTTCAAAACTGCCAAATTGAAAAAGTTTTGTTCCCATAAATTGTTAGAGCTCAATCAACCAAGTGATTCAGCGAATTTGTTGACATATCGTTGAATCCCCCATTTATTTTGTGCACTAGCTCTTTTCAATCTTTTCAATCAGCTAAGCGTAATCATCATTTTCAGTAAAGGCCACTCAAAATTATGAGGCAATTTAATCCAGGTTAAAAGAGATCGGGATATACATAAACATAAATGCCAGGAAAGAGGCAAGGATATATGTATGTATGTATGGGCAAAGTCATTTCGTCCGATGAAGTGAAAGCAATGCCACAAAAATGTTCTAATCTCAAAAGATGCGCACCCTTTGCACCGGCTTTCACTGCCTTACCCCGGCTTTCCCCGCCTTTCCTCGCTTTTCACCGCCTTTCACCACCCCCTTTTCGCCCACCGACTAATCGCCCTTGCAGCGAATGAGCAATATAAGCAACAAAAGGAGGCGAAGGGGTGTCCTCTGTAGAAGGGGCCAAAATCCAGGAGCCGGCATTGTCGCCACTGCACCTTTTGTGTCAAAAGTGCACTTCCATTATTAGCGCATTGTGTGTGGACGGGGAGGGGGGTTGGGTGTTTTGGAAAATGGTGAAAACCCGAGGAGATGGCTGGTGGAAAATATGAGAAGCCCGCGCATAAAAGGAAGTGCATTTAATTTCTTTTCTTTTTGGTTTTTTTTTTTTTTTTGGTGTGAGGGTGGGAACTTCAGCTAGACAGCATGAGTTTTTGGAGTAGGTGGGTAGATTTGTGTGGCCATTCATAAAGCGGCTGCCTGCCATTCATTTGCTGCAAGCCTCTCTCTCCTCGCCCCTCCTCACCCCTCGTCAACTCTTTTGCTAACTTGGCTTACCGCCGCACACAAAGTGGCGACGGCAGCGTCGTCTTGCCATCATAAAAATTGAGCACGACTTAGTTGACTTTTGTGCATACAAAAGGACAACCCAACACTGCCACACACACACACACACACACACACACACACACACAAACACACACATACACATGCACACCGAAAAAAAAAGGATATAATTTTAATTTGGCTTTATTTTCATGACGCCCACGAGGATGCAGCTTCAGAGGAAGCTGGTAGCAGAAACAAAGCAAGGACTGCAGGCGATTCGGTTCGGTTTGGTTTGGTTTTGTTTCGTTTGGTTTCGTTTGGTTTGGCATGGCGGGTAGGTGGTTGAAGAAGGCGGTCTAAATGGGTGGTGGTTCAAAAGGGGGTGCTCCAAGGAGTTGGCTCACTGCGGTGGCCCGCTTTATGTTCATTTAGCCTGAAACA